CATTATGGACGCCGTTACTATGAACCCTACAATAAGCACTAGACAAGTAAGTCGAGAGCTCAATATTACTCAATCAAAACTAAGTAGAGTCTTACAAAAAAATAATCTATACCCATATCACATTCAAATGGTTCAGCGATTACATGCTGGAGATGAGATCGATAGGTTGGAATTTTGTAGATGGATTAACAATAATCGACCAACGCTATACGGGACACTATTTACAGATGAGGACCAATTTACCAGAGACGGGATAAATAATTCACGAAATTCACATGTGTGGGCAGAAGAAAATCCCCATGCTATTCGAGAACGTCGTTCTTAGTTAAGGTTTTCGGTTAACGTGTGGATTGGTGTCATAAATAACCAATTAGTAGGTCCTCACTTTTTTGATGGTCGTTTAACAGGGCAGGTCTATTTGAACATTCTACAAAATATTTTGCCGAATTTGCTTGCCAACGCGAACGTTGCTATCCGAGGGATGTATTTTCAGCATGATGGGGCACCCCCACACTTTCTACTGGCAGTAAGACAACATCTCAATAATGTTTATGGCAACAGGTAGATAGGACGTGCAGGTCCTATTTCGTGGCCTTCAAGATCCCCTGGGCCTTCAAGATCCCCTGATTTCAATCCCGTTGATTACCATATTTGGGGACGATTGAAGCAACTAGTTTAAGCAGTAAATATTAATAACCGACAACAATTAATTGATAGAATTATATATTGTAATACTATTAGAAACGATCCCCAGAGTATCCGTAATTCAATACGTCAATTAACAATTCGGCAACAAAAATGTGTACAGGCTGCAGGGTTCCATTTCGAAAATCTATTTTGAATTATTTTTATTTTGTTACCATTATTGTGTCTTTTCCAGTTCTAATTTATGGGTTTATCATAACTATGTACATATTTTTAGTTTTTTTTTTAATTGTTCTTCGTTATTGTAATTAGTTACTGTTTTTTGTTGAGCAGTGACTCAGTTTATCATTTCAAATAAAATGTTTAAAATTTATAACATTTGTTTAAATTAATTACCTTATAATTTGATACTTCATTATGGTTGTTCTATTTTTGGTAAGATTTGATCGTTCACTAAAAATTTAATAAATGTGCGACAACATTGTCGCATATGTCGTTTTCATTAGCTATTTATGTAGTTTGAAAATCACTTATTGCATTTAAAAAAAAATATATATACAGGGTGTAATATTTAATACGAATCCCTAAATTAATTTTTCCAAAGCCAGTCCTGGAATTTTTTAGTTTAGCTAATACCAGTCGAATGCTCGATAGTAGTGTACCTACTGTATCATGCAAAAATTAAAAAAATCAAATGAGCCGTATAAACACTACAGTAAAATGAAATAAATGGTCAATTACACAAATCATCCTGTTAATTAATAAAGAAGAGGAATTGACATTTTTTAGTGGCCACATGATATGCTCCCTGAGGGACTCTACATATGGTAGAAGTATGTAAAGTTCCTCATGACTCACCCTGTATATATTTTATTTTTTTCGTCGCCCACTTACAAAATCTAACTAGTTGCAGAATTGCTAACAAAGAGATGGTTAGTAATTTACAATTTCATTTTGCACCTTTTGGTAGTACAATATATTAATAAGCAGTACAATATATTAATATTCTTATTGAAAATTATACAATTTAAATTTATGGGTAAGCAAATTTTGTTATTAATAACTTCATTATAACATTTATCTGTACTTTGACTATTTAATGAACAACCAAGTAAAATGTGTGTTATGTCTCCAAGTTCACCACATAAACATGAGGAATCATCAATTAAACCAATCTTACATTTATAGCTTGGTGACATTGCATGATTTGCTCTTATTTTGTCTAAAGTAATAATAAAGTTTCTGTTGTTTTGGTTGTGAACCATCTGAACCATCTTATTATTGGGATTTGGACTTGACATGATTTATAATTTAATTCTATTTGTTTTTTGTCATATATTTCTTGCCATTTAGTCTTAAGTTGAACTCATCATCATCATATAACGGGGGTCCTACGGCGATTGCCGCTTCCCGCATTTCAGCCTCCATCTTTTCCTATCTCTCCAATCTCCCTCTTCTAAACCTCTAGATTGCATTGTTTTTGTAATTTCTCTTCTCCAGGAATTTGGTGGTCTTCACCTTTTTCATTTTTGAGCGGAACATACATTAAGGCTTTCTCTGGCCACCGCTCCTCCTCCATTCTTATCACGTAACCATACCATTGTAAGCCTTCCTTGTATTCCATCTGAAAGAGTATCTCTAATTCCTGTACGGTTTCGTATTTCCTCATTCCTGATTCTTTTCATTCTCGATACTCGACATGGCCTTCTAAGATAATCCATTTCCACAACGTCTACTTTATCTCGTTCATTCTTTGTCATCGTCCAACATTCGGCACCATATGTGGTAATCGGTTCTACAATTGCTCTGTATACACGAAGTTTGGTATGCATCTTTATTTTATTAGACCACAGTAATAAATTAAGTATTCGGATGCATTTTTTTCCCTTGGGTTATTCGGTTTTGTACATTTATCTTAACTCTGCTATCTGCTGATATGATGGTTCCTAGATATTTATACTGGTTGCAACCTTTTATGACTGCGTTTTGAAGTCTCAGATCTGTGGTATTTATTCCAATTTTTAAATATTCTGTTTTGCTTATGTTTACAGTAAGCCCCCATGTGGCATATTCCTCAAATAATTTTCGATTCATATTATTTATATCTTCCTCATCGGTTGCAACCACCACCTGATCATCTGCAAACAACAATGTATACAGAGTTTCTTGTCCCACTTCGATGCCCATAAATCTACATTTATTTCTCCAATTCCTCAATGCTTCTTGGACGTATATTTTAAAGAGTGTCGGTGACAAACAGCATCCTTGCTTTAGGCCTTGCTTAAGTTGAACTTTAAGTATGGAATTCAAATCTGCATATGGAATATACTGGTTAATAGAATCTCTGTGTAAGTCTGAGGCGGATTTTGGAAACTTATTAGCAATTTCCTTTCCTTGAATATTCGAATACCCTTTGATCCAAACTATTAGCACCTCCCGTTGCGAGCTAAGTATTTTGTGATTGGTCTGTAGTATTTCTACTTCTAGATGACTTAAGTTCTTGGCCGCACTTATATTTTTTAGTCTTTCTATGATACTTTTGTAATCTGTAAATATAATACTTTTGAGTCTATACGTCCTAAGTATATATTTTAAAGCTTCACTTCTTGCAAACATTTCTGCTGTATATATCGTTGCCTCATCTGGTAATCTGAACTCTTCATGATATTTTGAGGTGTGATCGTAAAAAGTGGCACCTGTACGAATTTGTTTTGATCTATCAGTGTAAATCTGATAATAGTCAGGCCATCGTTGATTAACCGTTTCGAGGAAGTGGTCGTTTTTGTTAATCTGAAACGTCTTAGTTTTTTTAGAAAAAAGAACATGCGAATGTGCTGAAAATATTGGTTGGGTTTTTAATGTGTACAGTACCGATCTAAATTGGGAAATAGTGGTATAACTTTCACAAATTAGCGGAGTTTTCTTTTTTAGCCAATAAGACTGTGTGAGTACTGAAATTGACAGTTCATGGATAGGAATTATATAACTTTAAGATTTAGTAAATGCTTTTTTGATAAACTTGTTACTAATTAGTTGCCTTCTTAGTTTTAACGGTGGTTCTACAATGTGCATTAATGCTACATAAATGGGGAAAGAATCCGTCTCATCAATGTGACTGTGGGAAGAATCAAACCATCGACCACATTATCGAAGAGTGTCACTCAAGATCCTACAATGGTAGCCCTGAAAACTTGCTGTTTGCAACTTCAGAGTCAATTGATTATATTAATAAACTTGATATTTATTTGTAAATATTTAAAGTTTGTCATATACCTATATTACTAGTGTTTGTAATTTTGTTTTAAATTTGTTGTAATTGCCATACGATAAATAAATAGCTAACTTCAGACAGTTGAGTCAACTTTAAATAGTCCGACAAACTTTCGACAATTAGGTTGAATTCGAAAAGACTATAAGGCTAACTACCTTTACACAGATCGAGTCAGCGATTCTAAAGATAAAGGTGTTCTGTTCTTAAGTGACAACCATTTACTCACAAATTATCGTAGAAAACGATCCAATTTTGTGATCTAAATGCTCAGAACCAAACCGAACATCACTGTAGAAGACCCTGAATATCACCTCAATAAACGATCCTGTTTGGAAGCAATTTTTGTGGCATCCATTTTGCGAACGATCATATAAGACGAATGACAACACATATAGTAGTAAAGAGGCGAAAGATGGTTCTCCAATAGAAAGACGATCAGTAGGAAGACCATGGAAACGATGGAACGCCAACTTTATGAAGGCACATTGAAAAACAGACAGAGTTATGTCTACATAAAACGAAGGAAAAAACAGAAGACATTGGATGTAAACAGAACAAAACTGGAACGGACTACATAACAGTTATGGAGATCTTTTTAAGTTTAAGTTTTTCAGCATATTACCAAACAAACAACAATTATTAAAAAAATTGATATATGTGATAATTATATAACTTCTTTGAGTGCCGTCTCCATCAGCTTAAGTGCCAACCATTTCGACTCAGTGCGGTTTTGTTCAGAGAACAAATTCCTCCTCCAGGAACACTGCTATTTTGACCAAAATAGGAAATTAAAGGTTTTTTATTTTTTTATAATATTTTAAAAATTCATTGGATCAAAAGGGCAGTTTTGCATTCTGGCATAATGATTAGCAGTATACGATTGCATATTTATCATTTACTAGGTAATCTCTATGATTTAAAACCTGTAGTTATTACTTTTTATGTGAAACCTATGAATTTTTCGTTAGCACCATCCGAGCTAACTAATCCTGCAATTTAAGGAGATAAAAACTCGCAAAATGTTGTTTAGTACTTTATTTTTTAGAAACAGTAAAAAAATTAACAACACCCTGGAAAATATCGGTTAACTTTCTCCATAGAATAAAGGGTGATAAAAAGAATTTTGATCGTAATCAGCATCTGCACTATATTTAGAAGATTTACCACCATTTCCTCCAGAACCTCCGCTTCCACCGCCCTTTTTACCACCCCCACCGTTATCTGTCTTTGGTGGTGGTGGTGGGGGAGGAGGAAGAGGTTGTTTTCCGGCGTTCTTGGCTAGTCCTGCTGCGGCAGCCGCAGCCGCTGCCGCTGCATTAGCTGCAGCTGCCTGGGCCGCGGCTTGAGCTTTCATTGCTGCAGACCTTGTGGCTTCAAAGTCGATCCTTACGGCTGCTAGTTGTTTTCCTATATTTTCTAATCGGTCCATCGCAGACCCAACCATAGCTTGCTGAGCAGCTAACTCCCCGGCGGCCTCATTCGCGGCTTGGGTTACGTGATCTGCTGCAGCTTGAGCGGCATTTAGCGTGTTCTGAAGGACTTGTACATGTGTTCTTGCTTCTTGTGCTGCCCTGTTCGTTTGGTCAGCTGCTCTTTGTGCCTAGAAATTAATGTGAAAATAATGGACCCTTTACTAATTTAAATTACACAAAATGCAAATATATTATAATAAATTATAATAAATAATATAAGTATTATATTTATTCTGGATGAAGAAGTATTGACAGACCAAAAAAAAGATGGTGCGACAATTTAAACAATTTAGGAGGCTAATATTGAAGAATAAACGGGCTTTACAGCCTGCATACAAGAAGGAAGAAGAAGAAGACGATCAGTATTATAGAGTTCATAGAGTTCATTTCAAAATTTGTAGTGGACATTCAGTCTTGACTGTGGAAGATATCAGCACCCATAGTACACCAATTACAAGTTTTCATTAATAGAGCGTTACGAAAAATCCTTCGTATATTTTGGCCTAACCGAATCTCCCATGAAAATTTATGGAACCAAAGCAACCAAGAAAATGTCATAAAGCAAATAAGGGGAAGAAAATGGAGATGGCTGGGCCACACACTCCGTAGACCGCCAAATGACATTGCCAGGACAGCACTGGATTGGAATCTCCAAGGCCGACGGAAAGTAGGCAGACCTAAGGGAACTTGGAGAAGGACAGTACTGGACGAAGGGAGAACAATGGGAAAATCCTGGCTTGAAATCAAAACACTAGCCAGAAATAGAGTTCGCTGGAGACACTTTGTGGAAGCCCTATGTTCCTCTTAGGAATCCTGGGACTATATATATATATATATATATATATTATATATATATATATATATATATATATATATATATATATATATATTCAGTCTTGACTGATTTTGTGAAAATTATAAAAGATATATGTATAAAAATAGTATTAGGATAGGTGTAGGAAAGACTGCTAACTTATCTATGATAGTAGATAGGTTAGCAGTCGGAGTTAGATGGTCGGAGTAAAGTGTTAAGATTATCCATTAGTTTTCTAATATATCTAATAATAGGATAATTACTTGGTGTTTCTATAGCGCCCTAACACCACATACCACACAGTTTCACAATATTGAGCTGACGAACTGTACTGAAGTTTCACTTGTAGGATCCTGATTGGAGTTATTATGATCTATTTGAGTCAGAGATCGGGATAGCCTTTTTGCTGGTACCTTAATATTTCTATTTGTAGACCAGAAAGAGTCATTGATTTCAAAGTTTTCTTCTAAGCCATAGTTTGATTTATAAATATTTATAATGTATGTCTTAATTATACCTGCATAAGTTGCTGTTTTTCTCCCATAAGAGCAGTTTGAGCATCCCTAAATTGTTGTTCCATTCCTTGAAGAAGAATTTGTTTTCCTGCTAAGGCGGCTTGAGCAGTAGCTGAGGCCTAAAGTATTAAGGACATATTACTATAAAATAATAAAAGTACCTAATATTAGAGTTTCTTGATAACAGTATTGAACAAAATAAACCAAAATTAACTGGAAATATGAGTATCATCTGATAAATATAGAATACAAGACAAACACATCAAAAGTAGATTAAACAACAGAAACAGTAAACCAAGCAAAAAATAAGGTTCAGGAGTGTTAATCTTTTTAGTGTAAGTGCTAAATTAAAATGGGACAAAAATAATAAGACAGGCATTGTTGATGACACCAAACTTGGCCAGTTATTAAATTTAGTTCTAAAACCTAGTGCTTGCTAAAGGCAGATAAGTATTTACTTCAAATTTTGGAGAGATTTAGAATTATTCTGAATTTTAAAAGTTGACAGGAGAAGACATAGTTCGGTTTTCAAAGTCGAGAAAACTGACGTGGTTTAGACCAAAAGAGGTAGACAATAGAGCAATGGTTGCAGGACGTGGAGTAGGATCTGAGAGTAATATAGGTCAGTTGCTGGATAGATGTATACTTAGAATACTACGAATACTTAGATACATATACGGAGGTGTACAAGAAAGCGGGATATGGCGCAGGCGTTACAAATTTGAGTTGTATCAATGTTATAAAAAATGCAACATCGTCTGGTCTATTAAAATTAATAGACTAAGGTAGCTAGGACACTTTGAAAGAATGGACACTGGAGACCTCCAAAGACATATATTCTATCAAAGCCAGTAGGAAGCAGGAAGAAAGGCAGGTCAAGATCTAAATTCAAAACTCAAGTCGAAGATGACTTGTGGAATCTAGGGGTCAGAAATTGGAAAGCCAGGGCGAAGGAGGGGGGAGACTAATTCTTGAACAGGCCAAGACCCAGCCAGGGTTTTAGAGCTAAAGATGATGATGATGATGATGCTGGATAGATGTACCGAAGGGGATAGAAGACTAAAGGCAAATATCAGAAGATCCCAAAATCCATCATCAGTTATTGTGCTAAAGTTGATGATGACGATGCTACTGTACCAAAAGTAAAAATTTAGAAATGCGGGAGTAACTACCGGATTTCTCTCTTGTACATAATTTGAAAGTCTTGTGAAAAAGTTTGTAAATAACTGATAAAAAAAATAGTATGCTGGGAGCGCAACACATACAAAATAGAAAAATTTATTCATATCCAGTATCAAAGTGTCCTATTGAGAGGAACGAGTAAAATTAAACCCAAAGGGATAAAAATATCTGGAATAGAAGATTCTAAAGGCAAACATTACACAAAGCTGAAAAAAAAATTATGGCCTCTATGGTGTATATGAAATATTATTTAGAAGGCTATGGCTACAACAGTTATCAATGGTAATAGTCAACATTACGGTTAGGAAGAGACGAAAAAACTGAAAAGTATTTTAACAAAGAATAAGAGGTAAATTACAATTGTTTATAATAAAATAAAGTTCTTACTGCTGCTGCAGATTGAGCAAGTGTGTTTTTGGCAACATAAGCTGCTTGATGCCCAGCAGCGTCTTGATTATTGACGGCATCGTCAGCGGCGTTTGAAGAACCTTCTGCTATACTCCTCAAACTGCTTCCAGCACTGAAACCTTGCTTCTTCTTTGGGGTTGCTTGGTTATCTGCGAGTTGTGCAAACTGTACATCGTAGTTTGTCAATATGTCTATGTTATCGTATTCCAGAGATTGTTGTATAGGAACTACAAGAATTAAGATTATTAGTATGAAACCATGACCACACATTATTAACATGACTACAATCTAGTTCAGGTATACATGAAACTCAAGTTAAAAAAGTTAAAAACAAACTGCCAAAACACCGAGAACCAATCTGAGAAAACTAAAAAAACTGATATATACCAACAAATCAAATAACAAGTGTACAAAGAAATTCAGAAAGTAGAAAAACAAAAACAATTCACAGCAACAGATAAATGAAAACAAGTAGAGGAGATCTTGAGAAATATCACAAAACAAAAACTTCAAGAAGACACATCATCTAAAAATAAAGAGACAGCTGACATACACAAGAAGAAGGGTATCGGAAATATCATGGATAAAAATAACAAGATAATAACGGAATGTACAGATAAAATAAACAGATGGAAAGAATACAAAAAAGAGCTATTCGATGACGACGAGAACATTGAGGTCATTGAAAAAGGGAAAGAACTGGGCCACCAATCACCAAAGACGAAATTGAAAAAGCGCTAAAACGTATAAAAAATGAGAAGGCCATGGGACCAAATAAAATACCTACAGAAATCTTAAGAATGTTAACAAAAAATATATGGGCACACTAATAGAATAGAAAAGAAGAACGAAAATAACAACGACAACGAATATATTGGAAATTTTGGACTGGGAAGTAGAAATCACAGGGGAGATATGCTCGTAAATTTCCTCAGCAAAGAAAAACTATTCTGCTTAAATACCTTCTACAAGAAAAAGATGCAAAGAAAATGGACGTGGTTAAGCCCAGATGGCAAAGTAAAAATTGAAATTGACTTTATACTCTCTAACTTCAAAAACATTGCTAAAGATCTTACTGTACTAAATTCTTTCAACACTGGTAGTGATCATCGATTAGTTAGGACGCGAATAGAAATAAATACGAAATTAGATAGAAGAAAATTATTAACACAGGATAAATTGCCAAACATAGAAGCATTCGAAATGAATCAAGAGGAATATCAAAGTGAACTAAAAAAAGAAACTAGGACCTCTACCAGTATTCAACACGAAAGATATAAATGAAATAACACAAAAATTAACGAACGACATAACATCAACTGCAAAAAAGATCTGTGATAAAAATAAAAATCCCAGAAAAACGAAACTGAAACAAACAACACTTAATTTAATGGAAGAAAGAAGAAGAACATCGAAAGAATTACCAGAGTATAAAGCTATCAACAATAAAGTTAAAAAGAGCATAAGGTCAGACTTGCGGGCTTATAAAACAAAACAAATATTGCAAACCATCGAAAACAATAGAAACATGAGAGTATTGAAATCAAATTTAACTAAAGGAAAATCAAATATAACTAAAATCAAAAATCAACAGGGGAATACGGTGACCGAAAAAACTCAAATAATCAAGGAAATACAAACGTTCTATAAGAATCTTTATACATCTACTATACAGAACCCCGAAACAGACCACAGAACAATTCTAAACGTCGGCTCGGAAACCCTCCCTAAAATAACCTCTTCGGAAATTAGACATGCCTTACAGCAAATGAAAAACAAAAAAGCTCCGGCGAGATGAAACGTCTGAAATGTTAAAAATGGGCGGCAACATCGTTGTAGAAGTTGTGGAAGTCTTACTGAATAAGTGTCTAACAGAAAAAAGAATACCCAGCCTATGGGAAAACGACGAAATAATACTTTTACACAAGAAAGGAGACACTACTAATATTGAAAACTACAGACCTATAAGTTTGTTGTCACACTTATACAAATTGTTAACAAGAATAATAACCAACCGCATAACACAAAAACTTGATTTATATCAACCGGTTGAACAGGCGGGATTTAGAAAAGGGTTTGGTGCTAATGATCACTTACAAACCATCAGAACACTAGTAGAAAAAACCACAGAATATAATGTACCTTTACATATGGCATTTATCGACTTTCACAAGGCTTTCGATAGTATTGAGACTTGGTCCTTTTTGTCAGCCCTGAAGGATGCTCGAATAGACTCACGGTACACTACACTCATTAAAAACATTTATGAACAGGCCACATTCCACATCAAAATCAATGAAGACGAAAAAAACTGAAAAAATGCGCCTTGATAAAGGTATTAGACAAGGTGATACTATTTCACCAAAGCTTTTTACCTTAGCATTGGAAAATGTATTCAAACAGCTTGACTGGGAGGAAAAAGGTCTAAACATTGATGGTGTACGTTTGAGTCATTTGAGGTTTGCGGATGACATAGTATTATTTAGTACAGATATCAAGGAACTGGAGCAAATGTTGAAGGAATTAAACCAGCAGCCAAATAAAATAGGTCTCAAAATGAACCTTCAGAAAACAAAAATAATGAGTAATTTACAAACTAATCTTGTTATCGACAACGTCAGTCTTGAAAATGTAGACCACTATATATATCTTGGACATACCATTAAAATCGGCAAAGAAAATCAAATAGCCGAAATAAAAAGACGCATACAACTGTCTTGGGGAGCTTTCGGCAAATTAAGCTTTATTTTGAAGAATAAAGATATACCAATGTGTCTAAAACGTAGAGTTTATGACAAATGTATCTTGCCTGTAACTACATATGGACTGGAGACCATGGCCTTCACAAAGAAAACCTTAGAGCAGCTCAGTACAATCCAAAGAGCAATGGAGAGGGCCATGCTAGGGATTAGTTTGAGAGACAGGATTCGAAATAACGTCATTCGTGAAAGAACAAAAATTACTGATGTCTCAGAACGTATTGCAAGGCTCAAGTGGCAATGGGTCGGACACGTTGCCCGAGATAATCCCGAAAAATGGACACAAAGATTAACAAACTGGAGACCAAGAGAGAACAGGCGAGGAGTAGGCAGACCGCAGAAGAGGTGGACAGACGATATCAAACAAGTCGCGGGCAAGCAGTGGATGAGAATTGCCAAAAGTAGAAATCGATGGAAGCAAATGGAAGAGGCCTATGTCCAGCAGTGGACGAACACAGGCTGAAGAAGAAGAAGAAGAAGAAGAATAGAATTATTTAATGACATTTATAATACGGGAGATATTCCGAAAGAATGGTTAATATCAATATTCATTCCAACACCCAAAAAATCAAACGCAATGAAGTGTGAAGAGCACAGGACAATAGCTTGATGAACCATATTCTAAAAGTGTTCTTACGAGTGATACACGAACATCTCTATAAAAAGCTAGATGATAGAATAGCTGAAAACCAATTGGGATTTAGAAAATGCTTTGGTACCAGAGAAGCATTATTTACTGTACAAACACTAATCGAACGATGTCGAGATGTCAATTGCAACGTATTCATATGTCTAGCCGATTTCGAAAAAGCTTTCGACAAAGTGCAACACCAAAGAATGGCAAAAATACTGCAGAATACAGAATTAGATGACGAAGACGTGAGAATCATTGCCAATCTATACCGATATCAGAAAGCCATAATACGAATATACAATAAACAATTCTTTACCAAAAATTTTTTTAAATTGAGGGAAGAAAAATCATTCAATTGTTAAACAACTCCATTGATGAGCTTGGAAAAGTGTTGTAACCCAATATGTTTTAATCCAATCTGATTATAACTGGTGATAAAAAATTTATAGCCAACGAATTCTTAATTTCCGGAGAGATTAAAATTCAAATATGACTTCCCCTGTTAAACATAAACCTATTCAAAATAATATTGTTAAAAATTGTCTTTCGATGTACATAAAACCGGTAATTTCTAACGAAGGTATATATATTGAAAATACATTGAAAAATAAAATAAGTTGCATAATATATCAAATAATTACAACTATTGTAAAACTATGTACAACGATTATTGCAATACCATTAGCTCACATTATTAATTAACTTATTATTAACTCATTAAAGAACGGTACATTTCCAAAACAATTCAAAACTACCTGTGTAGTATCAATTTAGAAGAAAGTTATTCTGCTGACATCAGTTCTTGTCCAATAAATATTATACGTGCCTTTTCTAACTTTTTGATGCGACAATGTGCGATAGAATAAAAAATATTTCACATGTAATTATGTTAGTCCTAATCATTACGGGTATCGAAAGGATATGTCGACGTATGCTGAAAGATGTTATTTATTAGTTTGTACAGTTTTAAATAATTAAATCAATCGAAAAAATCTGCTTTCCTGAATTACACTTTGAATTGATTTTAAGTTGATACCTTCAAATAATACAGTTCAGCAGTGACGGCCGGTCAGGGTCGGCAGTGCCGACCCACACCTTTACGGATATTATAATTTTTTTTAATATTTAATTTAATCAGTATTTCGATAATTAATTGTGGCAGGTAAGTTGATGTCATTTGTTTCTGTTAAATAAAAAAATATCTGTGAGAGAATAAAGACTAAATTTTATTTATGGTTTTTAAAAGAATTCGACCAGACTAAATTTTATTAATTTTTTTTTCATGGTTAGACACATCCATCCGCCTGTGTGAATTCTTAAAAAGACACGTTTCTGGGTTTCGGCAAGTCGATCCCAAGCTTGATGATATACATGTAAAAATCAATGGAATATTAGTTGATGAGCAACCAAACATACATTTTCTCCTTACGTATTTGATTGCCAAGTACGGCAAATTTAAATTTGTCGATTCCTCATTTGGATTTTGGCCGCAAACTGTACCTTGTGAGCGTGGGATGAAATGTTATTTCGAGCTGGATAAGTACTTTAGAAATTAAGTAGTGAAGTAATATTTAGTGCACGAACTGTCTTTTCTTTCTGGGATTTATTTTTATTTTCTAAAGTAATACTGTGATACGTTACCACTGCTGTAAATAGTTGAAGGTTACAATGTTTCTTGATATATTAGAAGTTTTTTAAATTAAAGTGTAAACAAATTTAGGTAAATTAACCTAAAAAATGAAAGCTATGGGAGAAACTGTTAGTAATGATAAATTTGATATTGTAAATTATATTTTGCAAAATGGGTTTTTATCTATTCCATACGAAGAACAAA